GGACATTGACAAAAACATTATTCCACCAAAAATTCATCCTGCAGGCACTAGAAATTTGAATAATAATCCCTTAACTTGTTGTTAGATGTTCTAAACAATCGGGGTATTACACGTAAACCCTAAGGCAAAACCTCAAGGTACTCATAGGCCTGAAAATTTCAAGGGCAAAAGTGTAACATCTTAATTTTTAATTCTAAAAATAATTTCTAATTAGGGTTAAATTAGTAGTAAATTAGTGAGTGATTAGGATTTTGAATGACAGTTTAGTGTTTTGACTCTTGGGAGTGTTGAATGAGTAGCTTTGATTAGAAGAATCGTGTTTCAAAATGAAGCATATATGTGTAGTGAGGATTTCACACATGGCACAAAAAAAATAGTTGATAAGTATGTGGAAGCTCATGGTTTCTAGTGAGAAAGGAAGGGAAACACGATCAGAGAGGGAGGAAAAGCTAAAGCTATGCTAGTGCATCAAATTTTGAAAGATTGGGAGACATTTTTGACCAGTAGTCTATTGGGTAAGTTTCATACTGCCTTTAACTTCAATTCTACACTAATTTCTCATAGTTTAAGTAATAGAGAAATTAAATCAAAAATTTTTAAGGGGTTTGTTTCTTACCCTTTTGTAATGGAAAGGTTTTCAAGAATTAAATTGAAGTTTTATGATTAATTTAAAGTTAAATGATAAAGCTTTGAGATTGTATACTTAAATTGACCTTAAACTAAGAGAAATGAGAATGGAAATTAGGAAGAAGGTGTGTTAGAATTTACATAAGTGATAGAAAGGGGTAATTAGATAATAAGGAACTTAAATTTCTCAAGTAAAAGGAAAGAAATAACTAAACGTGATTTATAGTAATAATTAATAGTTGTGGTCAATTTGATTAATTTAGTGATAGTATTAATTGTATTTAGATTGTCATGTTGCACGTGTAACTTGAGAGACAAAGCATGTGGAGATGTTAATTGCTGAAGAAATCCATAGGTAACCCCTTTTTTGTGACAGAAGAATTGAGATAACTGAATAATTTACTCTATTTAATTATCTATTATAACTATTTATGAGTATTATAGCTATTACATAAATTTTTTTTAAATTATGCATGTTTTGAGAAAAGAAATAATTGTTGCATGAAAAGGATTTCAAATAAATGAGTTTGTGGAAATATATGACTATATCACTGTTTATATGGATTTGAATACAAATAAGTAGTTTGTATGTGAGTATGATCATGATAGGAGGTAGGAGTTCACTTGTAGAAAGAAGTAGTGAAAAGCCCATATGGCATTTATTCTCCTTAGTGCTTGACGGGTGCGGTGTCAGAGAATTCTATCTCTTTAGTGCTTATTGAGGTGTGATGTTGAAGATTATCTTTTTAGTGCTCATGTGGGATATGGCGTTAGAGATTTGTACTCCTTAATATCTGTGTAATACAATGTTAAAGTAATAATGCCTTGATCATTGTGTGTGATAAGGGGAAACCATATCATTAAGGTCCAATCATTAAACTTTAAGCCAGTTGCAAAATCTTAGTTTCGCACCTAAGACCTCTTTTAAAACCTTTTTCTTAAATTTTAGCTCTTTAAAACTTTCTAATCAAATCTTTCTATCGATTAAACTTGAAGAAATTAGGATAGAAATGTAGCATAGGGTACTACAAAACTTATCCGACAAGTCGCTAGCCAAAGTAAACCTCTAAACTCCAAATAACTAAAGCCCTAGAACAGAGATCCTCTCTCTCCCTCTCTAGTACATTTCTTTCCCCTTCTCCTGATTCATGAGCTGATGCACATCAATTTTAAGTGAATTATGTGCCATACACCACGGTACATGTAATACATGTTACGACGTATGGCACAGTGAGATAAATTCTCACTGTTGCTTATGCATTAAGTCTTAAGTCACTGTTCTACCATCCAATCCTGTAATTATACCAACCAATCAACACACAATATCAATCCATCATCCATAACCATAATCAATTCACTCTTTACTAATTTACCCCTAATTAGCAACTAATTCCTTAAATTGAAATTCAGGATGTTACAATACATATTTTCCAAACAATCCTAATATGTAATGCTTTTAAAAAATCGAACAAAAACATAACTGAATAATTATATATTTTCAAACAATAATCCTTTTCAAACAAAATACATATATGTACATATGCAACAAAAACATGCTTTCGTAATATTTTTATTTCCAAATAATACAAACATACATAACAAATCACAATGCATAGATAATCACGCATTAATAGTGGTTATCTTTACTCCATGCTATTAGAGCTCCTTGGGCAAGTGCACCTTCACCTTCCTCAGTGTTTCTATCATAATCTACATACATTACGATACTAGCTATAGTTAATAAAGTGCTAATTAATACTAATCAAAGTGTTAACATACTAATAACACCTTAATCCTAAGATTAGGTTAATTAACCTCATAGCTCAAAACTGTAACAACTACTTAAACTCTTAAACTCACTTGACTTTCTAATCACTTATTTAACCTTTACATAGCTTAATTCATCATTAAATCATCCAAACTACACCTAGGCTTTCGGATTCTACCTATTTAATTCTACAAAAAATCTTAAAATAATTTAACCTACAATTATTTATCCCTAACATCCTCAATTTTCAAATTTAAATTTTTAGTGTTTAAAAAGGGTAAATCAATAAAATTAAGTAATTAATAATTTAATAATGTTTTTGGACTACTAATGAGGTTCTTAGATAGCCTTAAAAGAGGGCTAGCTTAGAGTTCATACCGACTAGGAATCAAGTGAGGCCTAAATTTCACCTTGGGCTCACTGTTCCTCTACCACGACATGCCATCATGCACTATAACATATGTGCAAAAATTTAGTTTTATTATACGCTCGTACAGGTCTGAAACAGAAGAGAGGGAAAGAGTAAACAAGAAGAGCGATAGATAAAGGGCGTAGGGCTGCTAAGGCTACACTTTTAGAGCTATTTGGAAGTATTTTAAGCTAGCCACACACTTGGGTAAGCCTCTTAGCTACTCTTCTCCTTCCATATGCAAAATTTCTATTAGTTTAGAAAGTAGTGGGTGTTATTTTCATCTCTTCTTAGGTTTAAACTAAACCCATTAGTTTAATGAGGGTCTTGGGGAGTTAAATCAAGCTTCTAAACCTAGGTTTAAGGATTTGTAGTGATTTGAAATTTTTTTTGTTAAGGATTGGATGAACCCTAAGTGAAAATTGAAAGATTGAGAGTAACATAGGTGAAGAATTAATGTTATATAAGTGTTTGAGTGATAAATGGAATTAATGACATGTGTTGAAAATGTTAATTGTGTTAACGAGGGAATTTGGGTATAATGGGTACCTAAAATTAGGTGAAAGGGGTTTACTTAGAGTTATAATTAATGATTAATGTTTAATCTTGTATATTAACTATTAATCAGGCCTCGTTAAGCTAGTAGATCTTTGTAAAGTAACTAATTTGCCACGATAACCCTTTTTATGACAAAATGGTTGAGGTAACCAAATAATCTATTCCTTTTATTTATATATTTGAGTGGTTATGACCTTCCAAAAATATATATGTAATCTATTATGAAAAATTTGATTTATGTGTGACTTGTTGATGCTTTAGAAAATTTGTGTAAAGTGATGATCTAAAGTATTATTCTATACTCAAAATCCTTTTTTACATATATTTGTACAAATTGTGAATTAGACATTAATATAAAATGCTAGTAAATTGTACAATCATTTCTTACGAGTGATATGTATTGTTATGGTATAAGTATGATCATTGTGTAAGGGTGAAAGTTTACCCTAAAGTTGTCAGGGAATATTATATAAAATCCATATAATATGCTAGCACCATAGAGGCCTTGGTGCACAGTCTTTTTCTTATTCGGAAGCCTGGTAGTATTTGAGATATATTGGACATATAACACCTTATATATTCAAGAAAAGGAGGAATTTATTATTCATAATGGGTGAATGCAACTTTGGCCAAAGTTGCTCCCATGATTGGTGAGCTTGGGCTAATCTAGTCACATGAACTTGATCCTATTATGTTACAGCACATAGATTCAATTAGAAGAAATAAAGAGGATATAAGATGGAAAATTTTAATTATGTGAGTTGTTATATGATAAACATGTGATTGATAAGTATCCGATAGATGTTTTATTTGCCACTTTACACACTCATATGTTATTCTTTTACACTTATAAATAGAATAGATTATTTGGTTATTGAGTCCTCTGTTTACCCTTGTGGTTATATTTTATAGGTGAAGGCTCTAATAGGGGCAAAGGGAAGGAAGACTCTGCTGCATTTTAAGGAGCTTCAATTTGTATAGCTTTTCCCTTTTCTTTTGGCATTTTGTAATGAATTAGTTATATAAGTATGTCAACTTAGGATCATATATTATTTTGGGGCCACTTGTATGAAAATTTATGATTTGTAGGTATCTCAACCTAGGATAATATAACTGTAATGAAATGGTTGTAAGAGGTTAAGATACTAATGCAAGTGACGTTATTGTGATGTTTGTATGTGCTTGGATGGCTATGGGATTTTTGTTGTGAGTTTTATGCACATCTATTAATTTATGTGAAATTGGAGTTTTAATGGCCAAATTATGTTTGGATTCTATGTGATAATATATGATTGTTCAATTAGGTGTGTTGTGGTATTAATGAATTTGTTCAAGCGGTCATGGAGTTATTGACACTTAGTTAGCTAGTTTGGACACCCTTGTGTTTGTTTTGAAAGGAAAAAAATAATTTTGTATCCGAGTGTCTAACTTTTATATAGTAAAGTGTTTTGTTGTGAAATCAGTGCTAATAATCAGGTGGACTAAAGAGTTACATGTGGACACTTGAATCACTCAAATCGGACATCAAATGTTAAAATGGTGCACTCCGAAAGTTGGCTGAAGGTGTTGTCATGAGAACCTATGTTGCGTTGCACTGCATTGTGAGAGGACTCTCCTCTTTGTGCCATCCACTGTGTAATGGTGCAATTTGAAAGGTATCCAAATTGTCCTAATTTGATATTTGTATGTATTAAATTATGCTTCTGTTATTTTTTAAAACTATTATTTAAGCTTAGTCCTTTCAAAAAGGATTTTTTAGGATCCCAACTTTTAAATTAATTTTTTCTTAAACCCTTGTGTTATGAGAACCTATTATAAGGAATTATTTTAATTCTAGTTAGCATAAGGATGGTGTGTACTATGTCTTGATACATGTAAATATACATGTAATGTGAAAATAAAAAGATAAGATAAGGAAAAAAAAGATAAATAAATCAAAAAATAATAGTTAGTTTTAAAGAAAAGAAAGGAAAACTTTAAACAAAGAAGAAAAGAAAGAAAAAAGTAAACCAATGGTTGCCATGTGGCCCACCATTAGTTGGATACAAGATAATACCCTTGAATCATTCAGCCACTCCCTAAAATTCTTTCGGCTGCAGTGTAAAGAAATCATGAGGTAAAGGTGCGCTGGCAGGGAAAATTTTTTATAAAAGGCATATTTAGATATTTTTAAAGTAGGTCGAGGCTTTCTAAGGATGGGTAAATATCCTAAAATTTATATTCTAGTTAATTTTAGTATATTTAGGTGGATTTAAAATTGAAGAGAGATCCTAGGGATTTGATAGAGTTGTACAATTGTTGAGTAATAACTCTAGAATTGTATTGGGATGATAGAAAATGGATTTAGAGAATTCTAGAAAACTTTGAGTAATTTTAAGAGTTGTAGAAAAATTTTTATAACTATTTAGAGCAATTTATAAATAAAAAGTAACTCTATGAAATAAATTATAATTAATTGGCATTTATTTTAATTATTCAAGGATAAAAGTTTAACTTATTAAATTCTTAGGACTTATAAAACATGCTCATGAGTGCTCTAGAGTTTAAAAAAAAAGTAATAATCAACATATATTAAAATTATTTTGGAAAGTCCATGGGATAAATTGAAAAGCTCTAAGGTTTGAAATGCTTTAAATAAAATTGAAAAGAATTTTTTGGATTATAAATAACTCGAGTAAGAAATGAATTACATTAAATTAAATTTGATTTTAATTTCTCAATCATCTATTTGTAGAGATGTTAGAGTTTCCCAAAGACCCTTTAATTTTTGTTTTGATGTTTGAGTTAATTGGAGGGCCCCTTATAAAGAGACATTGGATTTTTTGATGAATTCAAGTCCAGGTAACTTCTTTTTAGATTATTTGCATGCTAGTGTTAGTAAATAACTGAACCTTTTGCATAGTAATATTGAATTGAACCTAAACAACATGCCTACAATAACATTTTGCAAAAATTTGGCTTAGTGGTTAACAAAGTAGTTTTTGAGAATTTTTATGAATCTATGATTAGTGAAAAACCTCTAAGATTTTTTATAAATACATCTTTTGAATTTCAAAGATTGGATAGAGTTATCTTGATCATAATTTGGCTGGTTGGATGTTGATTGAGTTATATATATATATATATATATATAAAGTTTGATAGTATTTATAGAATTATAAACATTGGAAATCTTGAGATACTTGTTGTGAAATTTATGGTCTAAATTATATTGAAATTGTGTTGCTATAAGGTGGCTGTAGGTTACAGGTTTAAAATGAGGAAAAAAAATTGGATTGCGATCACATACTAACTCTTATGTGGTGTACACTGGGTGGCTTGATATATACCTAAGCTACTCCAATTTCTTTTAACTAAGGTTGGGATGAGCTCAATACCATGGGGCACCCCTTATGGTTAAAAGGGGAAGGTCGAGGCTTAATGAGAAGTGATAAGGCCTTTAACCTGGCACCATCCCTAATCTTCTAGAATCTCTAAAACGGAAAGAGCATAAATGAGCAGAAACGAAAGGCACACACATAATGGAGCAGAAACTGAAGACACACACATAATAAACTCTTTGTAACCTCCTCTTAATTTCTGTAACCTCTCTTTAAATTTGTATGGTTCAGTTTCATGATTCCAGGACTATAAATAGGACCCTTATAGCTGTGTAAGAGGCAGACTTGAAAAGAATAAGAATTGCTTGTTTTCATTCAGTTTCTGTGCCATTTTGGTATCAGAGCTGGTCCAGAGAGTGAGTTACAATTGAGAAAGTACGCTGGAAAGAAGAGAGATTCAGAGGAGGAGTCCCTGACGTCTTCGCGTTTTGCAATCCAAGCATTTTCTCGAAAAACTAACATCACCATCGTGCTCAAGAGGTCCGAAAATGTGGAATAAGAGGTTCCTCGTCACCAGAAAAAACCACACGCATCGTCACGCACAGTCACCGGAAGTTCACGCGCTTCACCGCCTATACACTCGCCGTCACGCGCCATCCGGAGGTTGAAGACACTGACGTCAGCTGCCACGTTAGCGATCTGACCGGTCAACGACAGGTCAGCCCAGTAGTGTTCTGCCACGTGTCATCGTCGCCATGTCACTGTACCCAGTCAGCTAAAGTTTCATAAATTACATTTTTACCCCAAATCTTTCGATAATTCCAAATTGGCCCCTAATTTTTATGAAATTACATATTGACCCCTAAAATTTTCCCCGAAATTCCATTTTAACCCCTAAACTTCCTAAAATTATACTTTTGCTCCTTTATTTTACCTAAATTCCATTTTAACCCCTATATTTTCCATAAATTGCAATCTGACCCCATCATTCTTCCAGAATCTCTATTTTACCCCCTAGACAGTCCAAAATTCCCATTTTGCCCCTAGCCTTTTGAAAAAATCTCACTTTACCCCTATATCCTTCAACGTTTCCATCTGTACCCCAATCTTTCCCATATCCCTAGCCTTGACACTTATCCAAAATGCCTCCAAGATGTAGACATGTGCACGAGGTTGAGATGAAAGAGATGAGACGTAGGATACGAGAGTTGGAAGCCACTGTGGAATTATAGCAAACTCTGTTAAACAACAACAGAGAAAACTTAGAGGGAGATTTGGGAAGCAGTAGTTCGTCATCTATCGACAACCGCCGCTGCCCACGACAACAACAATTCCGCCCTAATGACATCAAAGTTGACATTCCTGAATTCAAGGGAAGGCTCCAGCCAGACAAGTTTGTAGATTGGCTGCAAACTGTTGAACGAGTATTTGAATACAAAGAGATTTTAGATGTGCAGAAAGTCAAGATTGTTGCCCTCAAACTCAAGAAACTTGCTTCTATTTGGTGGGAAAACCTCAGACGGAAGTGGGAACGTGAGAGAAAGCATAAGATTGAGACCTGGGAGAGAGTGAAATGCCAGCTCACTAGGAAATTTCTGCCAGATCATTACCACCAGGATAATTTTATCTAGTTGCAAAATCTTCGACAAAGATCCTTATCTGTAGAAGAATATACTAGAGAGTTTGAACAACTCATGATGAAGTGTGATATTCAGGAGAAGGAGGAGCAAACAATAGCTCGATACCTTGCAGGCTTAAACACAGATATCAGTCGTCCAGTCCAGCTTCAACAATATTGGACCTTAGATGATGTCATTCGTCTAGCCCTGCGTGTTGAGAAGCAGATGCCCAAGAGGTCCACTTTCCAGCCTTCGTCCTCTAGGGGTTATCCAAAAGGTCGTAAGGTAGAATTTCAGCAGACCAACTCCTCAAGCAAGCCACAACCTACTGCTATACACAAACCACCATCCAATATTGCCAAGGAATCTGGTTCTAAAGCAGTCAAATGCTTTAAATGCCAAGGATTTGGCCACATTGCTGCAGACTGTCTTACTTGACGGGTTGTCACCGTTAGGGAAGGATCAGGGTATGAAGCACTTGAAGAAGATGAGGAGGATACTAAGTTCTACGGCACTGATCCCGTATATAATGAGGAGGTCATACTTGCTGATCAAAGAGAAGCATTGGTGCTTAGACAAAGTCTGTATACAACAATAGTCAAAGAAGAACCTTGGCTACGACACAACATTTTTCACACTTGTTGCACGGCCCAAGGAAAAGTTTGTAATGTCATCATTGACAGTGAAAGCTGTGAAAATGTAGTATCTAACTACATGGTGGAGAAACTAAAGTTGCCAACACAAGATCATCCACAACCTTACAAGCTGCACTGGCTTAACAAAGGGAATGAGGTAAAAGTTTCTAAACAATGTCTTGTGATCTTTTCTATTAGGAATCGGTATTGTGATGAAGTTTTATATGATGTTATTCCCATGGATACATGCCACCTTCTCTTGGGGAGGCCATGGCAATATGACCGACATGCTATGCACAACGGGTAAGTGAACACTTATTCTTTTACAAAAGATAGTGTCAAGTTCACACTAGCACCTCTACCACCCAGTGAGATTAGCCAATCTTCAAGGTAATCTAGTGTCTCTAAGCCGTTAGTGTCTTTGTTAACTAAGGAGGAATTCAAAGTGTTGAAATCCGAAGCCCAAATGATGAGCTTTATTCTGGTGCTTGAGGTGAATGACGAGACGGCCAATCCACCTAGAGTCATTCCGCTATTGTCAGAATTTCCAAATGTAATATCTGATGAGATACCACCAAGGTTGCCTCCAATGCGAGACATACAGCATGCCATTGACTTCGTTCCAAGAGCAGTCATTCCTAATAAGCCTGCTTACAGGATGAGTCTCCAGGAACATGCCGAAGTCCAACGACAAGTTGAAGAGTTGTTGAAGAAAGGGTTAGTTTGAGAAAGTGTCAGCCCTTGTGCTGTACCTGTTCTTCTAGTACCTAAGAAGGATGGGAGTTAGAGAATGTGTATTGACTGCCGAGCCATCAACAAGATCACTATTAAGTATTGGTTTTCAATACCTTGGCTTGATGATATGTTAGACCAGTTGCATAGTGCCACTACTTTCTCCAAAATTGACCTTCATAGTGGGTACCATCAAATCAAAATTCGGCCAGGAGATGAGTGGAAGACCGCTTTCAAGACCAGAGATGGCTTATATGAGTGGAATGTGATGCCTTTCGGGTTAACAAATGCCCCTAGCACATTTATGCACCTGATGAATCAGGTATTGAGACCTTTCATTGGCAAATTCGTTGTTGTGTACTTTGACGATATTCTTATTTACAGTAAGAATCAAGAGGAGCATTTAGATCACTTGCGGCAAGTTTTGCAAGCCTTGCATGAACAGAAGCTTTATGCAAATCTCAAAAAGTTCACCTTCCTCACCAGCAAAGTTGTGTTCTTGGGATACATCATTACCGCAGAGGGTGTTCGCGTTGATCCAAGCAAAGTTGCAGTCATTGATAGCTGGCTAATTCCAAAATCTATCTAGGAGGTTTGAAGCTTCCACGGATTAGCTTCTTTCTATAGGAGATTTATCCATAATTTTAGCTCAATTGCTGCACCACTTATAGACTGCACTAAAGGAGAGAAGTTTCAGTGGACAGAGCAAGCTCAGAAAAGCTTTGAGGAGCTTAAGAAGAAGTTAACCGAAGCTCCAGTCCTAGCTCTTCCTAATTTTGACCAAGTGTTTGAAGTTAGCTGTGATACTTCTAACACCGGCATTAGTGCTGTCTTAAGCCAGGATGGCCATCCCATTGCCTTTTTTAGTGAGAAGCTCAATGATGCCAAGCTCAGATATTCTACCTATGACAAGAAATTCTATGCCATTGTCCGAGCTCTTCAATATTGGAGTCATTATCTCCTGAATAAAGAGTTCATACTTTTTTCTGATCATGAGGCTCTCAAGTATTTAAACTCCCAGCAGAAGATCAGTCGCAAACATGCTCGTTGGAGTAAACTCTTACAGTCTTATCCATTCCTTATCAAACATAAGGCTGGAACTCTGAACTCCATAGCTGATGCCCTTAGTCGTCGCCATGTGCTACTTACAACACTACAAACTAAGGTTGTTGGATTTGACTTTGTCAAAGAGTTGTATCAGGATGATCCTGATTTTTAAGGAGTGTGGGAAGTAATTGTAAATCAACCTTTTCACCAGTTCTACAGACACGACAGGTTTTTATTTTGAGGTAAAACCCTCTGTATTCCATAGGGCTCCTTAAGAGAAGCCATAATTTGGGAAGCACATGATGGTGGATTAGCTGGACATTTTGGACGGGATAAAATAGTTGATTTGGTGAAGGAGAACTTTTACTGGCCTCGACTTGAATGGGATATCAACAGGCATATACAAAGATGCAGAATTTATCACTTGGCTAAATCCAAGGGTCAGAATACCGGACTATACATGCTTCTGCCAATTCCAGAAGCACCCTAGGAAGATATAACTATGGATTTTGTTCTAGCTTTACCACGGACTCAGAGGCAAAAAGATTCTGTCATGGTAGTTGTGGATCGTCTCTCAAAAATGGCCCATTTCATCGTATGCCAGAAGACCAACGATGCTGTTCAAGTAACAGACTTGTACTTTAAGGAGATTGTGTGTCTTCATAGCATTCCTAAAACTATCACTTCTGACTGTGATGTGAAGTTTCTTAGTCACTTTTAGCAGACGCTATGGAAGAAGATGGGAACTAAGCTCCAATTTAGCAATGCTAGTCATCCCTAGACAGATGGTCAAACTGAAGCTATAAATAGGATTCTTGGTAATCTTCTTCGCAGTTTCATGGGGAAGAATTTGAAGCAGTGGGATCTTATTCTTGCTCAAGTTGAGTTTGCTTATAATAACTCTTTCAATCAAGCAACTGGGAAGTGTCCATTTGAAGTTGTTTATAGCACTCATCCCCTTAGTCTACTAGATTTGAGCCTTTCACTTGATAAGCAGCAATATAGCTTTGATGCTGACCAAAGGGCTAAGGAAATTAAGAAGTTGCATGAGCAAGTCCGCGAGTGAATCCAAAAGTAAAATTTGAGATACAAAGCTCAACGTGACAAGCATTGAAGATAGCAAACTTTTAAGGTAGGAGACTTGGTTTAGATACATCTACGAAAGGAACGATTTCTTAAACAGCCAAACGCCAAGTTGTCCCCAAGAGTTGATGGTCCGTTCAAGATAGTGCAAAGGATCAACAACAATGCTTACAAGGTAGAATTACCTGGTTCTTATGGTGTATCTGCCACCTTCAATGTCACTGATCTATCTCCGTACGTTGATGAAGATGATGAATTTAACTTGAGGGCGAGTTCTGCCCAACTCGAGGAGGATGAAACAGAAAGAGTAGAAACGAGCAGAAACGGAAGGCACACACATAATAGAGCAGAAACGGAAGACACACACATAATGGAGCATAATAAACTCAACTCTTTGTAACCTCCCCTTAATTTCTATAACCTCCCTTTAAATTTGTATGGTTCAATTTCACGATTCCAGGACTATAAATAGGACCCTCATGGCTGTGTAAGAGGCAGACTTGAAAAGAATAAGAATTACTTGTTTTCATTTGATTTCTGTGCCAATCTCATCCTAGGGAAATAATGAGGAGTTAAAGTGAAATAAAGAAAGCATAAAAATGTATAACTATTATTAAAATGAATTTTTGAGATATTATTTTACTTGATATGTGAATCAATATAATTGTGATTGTTATTTGAATACGGAGTCTAACATGATATTTCTCTAAGTTGCATGGTTTTGATTTTCTAGCATGCATGTACCTTTTTAATTCAATTATGAAGATATGTTTATTCCTTTTCAAGCATGCTAGCTTTCATAAATTATGAATTAAATGTTTATAGCATGCTTGTTTGAAATATAATGTGTGTGTGTGTGTGTGTGTGTGTGTTTGGATGTATGCCTACTCCTTTCTCAAACATGCTAGCTCACATTGCTATAGCAACCTTCGAAAGTGATTAGAGACGGATTGTATTATGTTATGGATAGCTAATTATGAAAACTCAATAGACTAGGTTATTTACTGATCTAGGATACATCATAAATTTTAAAGAGATTACTAAGATATTATCTTACTCATTTTTTAAATGCTATAGGAATAGCTAGTGGAGTTCTAGAAAGGGAATAGGCACAAGGACTACCAACAATGGCTCAGATACCAATCTTGCAGCCATCCTATAAGAATAGTTGCATCTATTTTTATTGTTAATTGATACCTTTGTTTCTATTTTGATTTAGGATGTACATTCTTTTAATCTTCTGGCCCAAGGTTGAGGGAATTTGACTGAAGGCTGTAAGTGGTGTTATTTTGTTTTTATGTACTTACTCATTATTTATTATTGTTATTTCGTAACACAAATGTGTGTTAGATTATGGGTTGGGAAATCTGCTTGTGTGCATGTGTTTGATATATGTACATGTTTTGGGGGGAAGAACTTTTAGCCTTTCCTACATGCATGTGTTTGATATATATATATATATATATATATTGGGGGGGACTTTTAGCCTTTCTCACTATTGTAGTTTTGAATGATGCTTGAAAACATTTTTTTACCATAGTAGAGGCTCATGCTAGTTAATTAAACTTGTTTTAAATATCATCGTAGAATTAAGGCTAATCCTTTTTCTATCATAATAGATTAGGATGTCCCTTTTCTACCATGATAAAAGATGACTAGGTATGGTTTTGTGGATGAGGTTGTTTAAAAAATGACTAAAAATCAAATTTAAAATACCTACAAATCATAAAGGAAAAGTTCAAGAGGCAAAAATAGCATAACCCCTAATATGAAATGAAGGAATATTCTTTCTTGCATGCTTAAGGATTAATTCTTTAAGATAAGCTTGACTTTGACTATACTTCCATTCTTCTATCTCACTAAAATAAAGGAAAGATAGTTAAATTATTTAAATAATCTAAAAATAAAATAATTTTTCAAGTTTATCTCTATTTAAATGCATAAATTTTTTAAATGAAAGTTGTAAATAGTGGTGATTTTGAAAAAAAAAAAAAAAAACTAGTCAATGCTGCGTTTATGTAAGGTGACTAATATACAAAACTATCAAATTTTGTTAGGAGGTGACTACTGTAAGCCATAGAAGCATCATGAGACATTGATGTTTTTGCTACACTAACCCATACTATATTCATTTTTCACATCCTTTATATACTCTCTCCTATCAATAGTATAAGGTATTAAAAATTATTTTATAACTCTCAAAACAAGTTAACTAAAAAGTTAATCTTTCAAAAAATATACATATTTTCAATTAGACTCTCATTAAATGTCATATATAAATTTCTTAACAATATTAATTGAAATTTCAATTAACCATTTTTTTAAAAGGAATAATAAATAGAGTGAGGGTATCATTGAAAAAAATTAATTGAGTAAATTAATGAGTTTCAAAGTTCTTTAATTCCAGTAAAATGTGTTAAAAATAATTTATAAATAAAATTAAAAAAATATTTATTAGTATACTATTTTTAGAGGCATCAAACTAGGGACAAATTTAATAAAATATGCCAACATATTTATTTCAAGATTCAAGGGTAATTTCACCCATAAAATAAAGGTTTTATGGACATTTAAGACTTTAAACTTATTTTTAATATATTTTTTTTTAATTTTTATAAAATGTATCATGTTATTTCTATTATTAATAAAATTTAACTTTAATCATTAATTAATTTAAAAAATTAAAAAAAATCAAAAAATTTAAAAAATGGCCCAAAAATTATGACCAATTGGTTGAAAAATTTTAAAAAATATAATGTAATTTTTTAGGTCCTTTTTTATAATTTTATGTTTGAATTACAGTTAAAGTTAACATTCATTAACAATATATGTAATATTATATTATTTTTAAAAATTAAATAAAAATTACCCTAAGTTTAAAGCTTTATACATGCACAAATCAATAATTTGCGGAACAGTTTACTATTTAATTCTTTTTTTTTTTAAACTATCCTCGCTAACCCTTCTCATAGTCATAGGAAATGAGGGCCCCACACACGCGGCTACATACACCCAAACCACGCATAAGTACACAACACCCCCCCCCAAAAAAAAAAAAAAACACTCCTAATAATATACTCTTTATATTATTTGAAGATTTGATCTAGAAACTACTTTCATCAGTGGATATAAATCATGCCTATAGAGCTGCAAGCTCTTGGCATTTAACTCTATTATATGTAGAATAAATTTAAAAGATAAATATCGTGATAATGAGACGGAAGAGGACAATATATGTTTGTGATGTGCCATGTAGACAACTCAGAAAAAAAACATGGGATGTCTGATGCTTGGGGTCTAATGCCTTACTTTCACTCAAGACGAAGAAGATAACTCCATATCTATTCCCACTTGCGACCACCATTACATTTGGCCTCAAAATTCGATGCCGTGGGAACGTCAACCACGTGTCCTAATCACAAGCCGTCCACTTTCTCTTCCTTTTAATTCATCTCGTTTTTTAATCACTTCAAAAGCGACTTTAATTACTTCGTCCCTTTCCGCGCCACTCGTTTCTTTCTCCTTTCTTCTTTCTGCTTTTGGTTTTCTCGCTTTGTTTATTCCTATTTCTTTACAATTATTTCCACTGCCTTTCCACCTGAAACGGGAAGTGTGCAGATCCCAGAAAGAAACTAGCCTGTTGCTTCTCCGAAACGATTCTCTCTGCCATTTCTCTCATGTTTCTGTCTCAGTCACTTCCTACATTATCCATCCTTCCTGCATTACTCAACTACACATATACATCTCAGTCTCAGTATTTTCCACTCTGTTAGATCCTGTGGTTTTCTTCTTGTTTGTCTGTTCACAACTTGCCTGAAAGTTGTTCGACGAAAGTCTTGGCCCCACTATAACTGTTATTTGTTCTTAGACACACTAAGGTGTCTCTGTAAGTGGACAATATTGAAGTTTACGGGACAAGGTTTTTGCTTCCTCAGATACTCACGGAGTTCTCCGAGGTACATATGATTTAATTTTTTACTATAATCGAAGCTTCGTTATGTTTTTGTTCTTGTATCATTTTTCTCTTTGCAATCACAGTATTGAGGTCAACGTTGTATCACCGTGAGGAGATGTTCCTATAATTTTTCTTGTGTCTTGTTTGACTAGCTTCTCATGTTATGCAAGAGAAGGACAAAGTAAATGGACATACAATGAGATAATGGCTGGACTTGTTATCAAAATGACACAGTTGGTACCTCTTTTGTCGTCTAAATTTCTAACGAAAGAAGAGAATTTGATGTAAAATCGGATAGAACAATTTGGAGGAGGGAGCAGAGAGGGGATCTGACCTCAAAATCAGCTTCTTGAATTAACTAGAAAAGCAAAACAAAAGGAAGGGGCGAAAAAAGGGAAAGAACAAAATAATAATAATAATAATAATAATAATAACAAGGCTTATCTTATCAAATAAGGTTAACTATATGAATTGCACAACGTGATTAGATTCTAACAATTGCTAATGCTTCAATTATATCGTTCACCATGAAACACACAAAGTAAAATTTAAATGACATGGCGCTGCTGATCCTAAGCACAAAGTGCTTTACTGATGATTCTTTCTCATGTTCCCTGCCCCTGACGTTAGTTTTAGTTTCATCAAGTTAAAAAACCTAACAATGGACAAAACTTGACTGCTTGAAAAGCATGGTATATATATTAACACAAGACTCTTTTTCAGCAGCAAGCAGACTGAAGTTGACTGCTGGGTGGAGTTGAAGCTTTGAAGTTTAGAGAATCATGGATGGCAATGTTGTGGGAACCTTGAATGGCAATGGAACATTTTCAGCGGAATCATCAACATCTGGATCAGTTAAGAGAAGCAGAACGCCTAGCAGTGGAATCCAAGTTGCTTCATGTTTGGTTGATGGGTGCAATGCAGACCTTAGTAAGTGCAGGGACTATCACAGACGCCATAAGGTTTGTGAACTTCACTCTAAGACCCCAAAGGTTACAGTCAAGGGTCAGGAACAACGCTTCTGCCAGCAGTGCAGCAGGTAGACATCTAAATGCCAGCTTAATGTGCAAATATCAATTACTAATTTCACTAGCCACCCAAATATGTGCATTGATAATATTCTTTATATATTTGCTTTATCATGGTTTGAATGTCATCATTACATTCCTTAGGTTCCATTCATTGGTGGAGTTTGATGAAGGAAAGCGAAGCTGCAGGAAACGTCTTGATGGGCACAACCGACGCCGGAGAAAGCCTCAACCAGAACCCCTGCCGATGACCTCGGCAAGATTTCTTGCTGAATGCCCAGGTTTGGCCTGAATGACATATATGTCTTCTTGGACGTTCTTCTTGGTCTCTTAATAACAAGTTCTGGCTAGAACTAGCAATAGTTTCTTAAGAGGCTAGGTTACTTATGCTAATTCCAGCCCCAAAAGAAGATGGATTCTGCTACTTCTGCTAATGACTTTCTTTTGTTTTGTTTTTGTTTTGTTTGTGTTTTGTTTTGTTTTGTTTTTTTCCAGGTACTGGAATCTTAGCATTCGACGATCAGAAAATCCGTCCAACGGATCCTAGTTTGAGCAGTTGTTGGGATGGACCTATTAAAGCTGAGAATGATCATTATTTGTCCTTCACGTTTGATGGTAGGAATGGGCCAATTGGTAAAACTTTGAGTTATCAAGGAGAGGGACAGAGACAGTTTTCCTTTCTTCAAGGCTCAAAATCTACATACTATGGATATTCTGCGAGTGAACTAAACTCACATTCCAACATGACATCAGAAAATGCAGGTAAGAACAATAACCAGAAAGCATTCTCATATAATGCTCGCTCTCTTCTGTCATCAACACCACCTGAGACTCATGAGGTAGGCTTAAGACGCACGATTCTTCCAAATGCTATCCCTTCTTCACCTCTGAACCTGGATTCTTCAGAAATGGTGAGTCATGCCCATAATAATACTACTAATAGAGATGCCATGATGTTTAGTTTTGGATCTGATGGGTCGTCTTCTTGTGATGCCCCACACAAATTCCTCTTGTGGGAGTAATGTTTTCATTATCTAGTTTTCTGTTCTATTAGTTGTGTTCAATTGCTTTGCGCTTGTAAACAATGTCATGTTTAAGACGCCCTTTTGTATATTCTATTGATGAAGGAAACAACAGACCCTGAAAGAGGAGGTTCAGTGTGGTGTGATCTTATAATCTGAACCGTGCATTAGTTGTTGGGATATATATATACACACACACACATGTATGTATATAGTATGCAAATCCAAATTATGGCTAAAAACACTATCTTTTAGAGCTATTCCGCCACACAGTTCACGTTAACTTGCATGAGGGTAACAAAGATTGCCTTGCATTGGCCTTTTGCTGTGCTTGTGAGTCCATTTCTTCTCTAAGTCCATCTACTAACCCAAGATCACTCCTCATTTATGTACTTAGAGCTTCTCTTATTTGGGCAATGTGAGACTTTATTTTGACACACTCGCACATAAACTACAACAATATGTATGTAAATATGATCAAATTTCATTTGTCATCAAACCGTGTTTTAGGAATCAAGATGCTATTAATTTGTGTAACACAGTTTCTTTGCTTGCTTCTTTAGCACAAGCACTTGCAGATTGGGAATTTGTTTCTTTCTGTCAGAATCATATTTTCCAGCCATCTGATCGACATATTACTCAATCATGTTTCACTTGATCATGTCCTATTGCATAACAATAAGTCAATAATAAAGAGAAGGATAAAGCAGGCGAAATAGATACAGTAGGTAATCTAAGTCACATCAAAATGACGTTGTTCTTAAGAAAAACTATTTTGCCTGCACTTATCTTCCAGAATAAAATAGAGGAGAAATGATAGTTAAGTTTTAAAATATTAAATTAATGACAGATTGTTTCTGACAAAATTTTAAAAAAAATATAAATAATAATTCAAATAGTTAAATATAGAAATTTTTGTTATAAATTAGAAGCTAAGAATTACATTTAATACTTAAATATTTATTTGCAATTATTTAGATTGATATTTTTAAATTATTTTTTAAAAAAATTATTAGAGACCTAACTATCATTAATTTAATGACTTGGAACCTACCTCTCATTCTCCCTAAAATAGATCTTTCCTGAACAAGTTTAGTAACAGAACTCTAGAAATAAGAAATTGTAATCTAGAGAGAGAGAGAAGAGAAGAAAAGCAAGACTATTTAAGTTGGTGTCTAATTTTAGGAGAGAAGGGAGGGCCATCGTGTAGCAGCATGAAGATAATTATTTTATAGTTAATAAAAATAAACAAGGGTTACTAGAAATTAAGGGGGAATGACATTTAAGTATCACAATGTTGAATTATTTAAAGTTAGGTTCTCAAATGAAAAAATAAAGAATGAGTTGCATATATTAATTCAACCAGTTATAAATAAGAATTTCAATTATAAATTAAAAGTTATATTTGAAACTAAAAAATTTTATTTGTAATTGAGATTCATAAATTTATAATTATTTGAATTGATATTTACAATTTATTTTTCTCAAGAATCTAGCTATCATTAACCCACTTTTTTGTGACCTAAGTATCATTCTTTCAAAAATTAGTATCATTCTAAACTTATAACTGAAAATTAATTCCAAATCAAAATAATTTCTTTTGAAATAACGCTCAAACAAATTATTCATCAGATAATGTGGCTGAAACCTGAATGGGAGGAGGAAAAAGCCTTTAACAGCTCAGTTAATAGAATTATTTAAACAATATTCTTTTAACAGGTTAAGATTATTTCAATATAAATCAATATGTGGTTAAGGCTCTGAGACATATTAATTGGTAAACTATATGTGAAAGCTTTTAGGATCTGGTGATTTCTTCAGGAATGGACGAGGTAACTCCAGCCCTGTTTGATTATTAGAAAGGAAAAAAAATGAAATGAATTAAAAAAATAAAAGTAAAAATAAGATGATCAAAAAAAATAATAAATTGCATTTATAAAAGAGAAGGGTGATTTAGTTCATGAAATTTTTTAGAGGATATGATAATTTTCATATTTGTAATATATATTAATGAGTTTTATCATGCTTGTCATAATAAGAAAGGATACTTTAATTTATTTTTGTATTAATTTTTTCAATTCCTTTTTTTTTTCACCTTTTAGTAACCAAACGTGATCCCAATTCACAGCCAAAGCAAATTTACATGTCTCTGACGTTCTTCAGTGATTGATACTTAAACTATGACATTCAATTTGGATATGTAAATATGAACTTATTAAATCTTCTTTTTGAAAAGGAAGTAAATACAACCAATAATTGTTGGGATGGTAGTTAGATTGAATAGAAGGACATAGATTCTTTTTAATAAGCACAGGTTGGTTCAAATTTAGTTAAAAGAAAACATCACGTTGACCTCCAATCAAGTTTCACAATAATCAAATCTGATATAGTAATATCAATATTAGATAATTGTATAAAAAGAAGAATAACTAAACACCAAATTTAAGGCATAGCCCAAGAAGCTGATTCATTGGGCTGACAGTGTCCTTTTTTTGGTTTATTTCTGATTCGTTCGTAATGTTATTGGATTACAAGCCTCACTCATTTAACAACAGCAAGGTCCATCTCACTACAGTTGCATTTTCTTGACTCCCGAGGAAACCAAGTCTTCTTTCACCGTGCATTGACTTTTATCGTACATAACTCTACTTTAGGATCAGTGAAGAATATAGATGTGTTAAGTATAGACTTAGAAGCATTGTCATTGTACAATTTAGTGATAAGAAGCATTCCAAGAAACAGTTGTCCAAGGATTGGGGTTTTTAATAAGGAAATTTGGAGATTTGAGACTTTTGTTATGTTGAGTTTTTTCAAAACAGCTGTCTAAGTAGGTTTCTACTAATAGTCATGAGTAAGAGGGGTAGAGTTAACATTGCCTACTTTCCAATGTAATTTTTTATTTATAACATCAGTTGTCTTTCAAATTTCTTTTTCAATATACCAAGATGCATTATAAGGTAACTTAAAAGATATATTATCCGATGCGTTAATGTATTAAAGTTTAAGAGTATTGTCAAGAAGAAAGTGCCCCTCAATTGTCATTACTCACCAAATTAGTCTTTCTCCAAACCAAGCCCTCCAGATTTTATAGGGCTAAAAGGAATATCCTTCTTCACAAGAAGAATGTTCCTATTTTGTCTATTGAATTCATAATAATCTATAGTAATGAATATTGGATGGTTGTTAATGTATATGTATGTATGTATGTATGTTATAACGGTGTGGAATGGTTGGGTTGGGTTGGGTTCTCTTAAATATAAAAAGCTAATTTACTAACAAATAACCTTGTAATCTAGTAACATGTAAATTCTCTTGTATTGTAGGTGAGAGGTTGTGAGTTCGATCTCACTACTTTAGGCTATTAGTTTTCTTTCTTTATCTCTTCCTTTCTCATTCTTAGCACCTTTCCTTCTTCTTTTATTCTACATATATAAAACCTATCGCAAACCTTAAAAATATAAAAAGAAGTCGGCCGATCAAAAGAAAAAGGAGAAAGGGTCCAAAGTTTTGAAGAAGAAGAAAGAAGGTGCAAAGAAAGAGAGAGGAAGAGAGAAAAGGGAAAGAGATGAGGTTGAGTGGGAGTGTTGCGCAATTCCTCTTTTTTTAAAAAAAAAAATTAAGTATTTTAGTCAATTCACAAGAATCCTCATTTGCTGTCAAGTCCCCAAGAATCTCATAGTTATTATTGTGCGTTTGGTGAGACTTTCAAGTAGTTAGAATGTTTACAAGGCATTTCATAGTAATTTTTTTCCAGACCAACCAAAAAAAAAAAAAAAACAAAACACACGCATTGAAGGAGTACTACTAGCACATTGTATCATCTTTCTCATAATAAGAACAATCATTGTGATGTAGGAGAGAACCCAATCACAAGAAATTAATGATAGATTGATAAGGGCCATGATCATAGATGTTTCATGTTTGTATAGGATGTTTTTGGGAGAAGAGTACTACTAGTCTAATACGATATATTTTTAAGAATAAAAAAATAAACATGATATATATTACTACTTTTTCTACCGATTTTCTTTTTCTAATATATAATAATATTTTTATAAAAATAATGTTTTATTATGGCGGGAAGAAAACTTTTTTTAAGTTTAAAATATTTCTCCCTTCTTCTACCCCAAAATAAAATTCTTGGAAATGAAAGATAAAGAGGCAAAACCTCTCTCGTATAAGTCCCTTTCTTTCTTTCCTTTTTCCCCCTCTGGCATCTATCTCTCGAAGAATCTCTTTTACAAATTAAAAAAAAATATTAAGGCTATATATTTTTTCTAAAATTAGATAGCTATATCAAAAGATATACCTATAATTAATATCAATAAAACATAATATAAAAATTAAATTATAAGCATGGTTATTCATATCATAAACGGCAACATACAAAATATATAAATATATATATATATATATATATTTATATATATGCGTGCGTGTGTGTGTGCCAGTTCTTTTCTTTTATAAGAAGTTTTGGTAAGTTGTTGGGTTCCAAGGGCTTTGTAAGGTTATGGTATTTATAGTCTTATAGATTACTTATCAATAAAATTATCAAATGGGTAATGAGATTTAATTTTATAGTCTTGTGAATTATGAATTAAATTTTTATTAATTGGACCAACTGTTGTTGGTGAAATATGTCTACTATAATTTAATGGAAAATAAAATAAAAAATTTTCAAGACTCCCTTTTTCCAAATAATTAAAAGGACCATAACCATTGAGACCGCATGAAATTTTGACCACCTGTGCATATGTCTCTTGAAACTCCGTTTAAAAAAAAAAAAAAAACCCACTCGAACACTCCATTAGATAAAAAATTATGGCCTAAAACTCCATTGTGGGAGAAGCTATTTGAAGCTCCATTTGATAATCAATTTTCTCCTTGACCTTTGAAATAGAAGTCTGAACTTGGAAGCCTTGTAATGGATTTCAGACTGTTCCAGTTCATCAAACTTATCCTATTTTTATTAATTAATTCCAACCATGAAATTCGAAAGAGTTAAATATATGTTCTCTTTTATCTTATACATCATTTTAACATGCTTCATTAAAATCAAGAAATGCCTTAAAACTCATTGACTACATCAAAAATTAATTAAATTTTCATCTTTGTCCATATTAAATATATATATATATATATATTAAGAATATACATTTTTCACCAACATTTAATATGAGGTAAAAAAGAAAAATTGCAATAAAAAGTAGGTGACATGCCTTA